GCATTTTTCTGAGTTGGAACGCTTATGCGAGAGCGAGATTGTGACGGGGTCTTGGTATCATGTGACCGTAGTTGCAAACCCCAAGTAATGTACCTCTGATACAATTCATTTACAAAGACATGGTGATTTGATATGTTGATATGAACGAAACAAAAGACTCACCTTATAGAATTGTGCATCAGTGTTCACTTTACCCAGAGATTCTCCCTGTGCAACATTTAATACATGTGTTATACCAACTGATTGTAAACTAGGTCTATCCAAGGCAAAAGAACTGGAAAATAAGAAATAATTTAATATATAATTTATAAAATTCACAAACTGAAACTGCCGACACAGGAATCGCAGACTCAACAGGCGTTTCCCATGTGCATGGATAAGCATAATAAAACTTGAAAAATACAATGAACATTGTGATGTGAATACTGAGTAAATTTGCAGAAAAATTAAACATTTTGATCTTTTTTAAAAATTACTTTATACCAACTGATAGTGGATTATTCAAAGCAAAAGAGCAGTAAAATAAGAAATAATTTATATTTGCTTTACAAGATGAGTCCAATTGTTCAAGGTGTGTTGTTGAAAAACAAGGAAACCATTGTGTTAGACTAGAATAAAATATGCCTGTTTCTGATTTTGGTAATTACATAAAATTGAGCAAGTAACAGTATTTTTTTAGGTTATATACTGCAATTGACTACCCAGTGACCTAAACTCAGAAAATCATGATTACAGTATGTACGAATTTTAGAAAAAAATTTCCATAAAAATTTAAAGATTTGAATTATAAAAAATTGCACAGAAAGAAATTGACAGGCTCTGAAAATAAATTAATTAAACATTGCACATGCACACACAAATTATCATACGTATTTTATGTTGTCTAAATAGTTGTTACTTTTTAACAAATACACCTGCATAATTCTGATCAAGATGGAGACAATGTCAAGTTTTGTCCATTTTGTCTAGAATTATTAAAAATATATACACTAAAAAAATATAAAATATTACATCTAAATTTTGACAGGCACTTGTATGGCATCTAAAGTTTACAAATATAAAAAAATATTTGCCAGAACACGCTAAAACATAAAACAGAAGTTGTTTATGCCAACAGGCAGGACATATAGTTCCAATTACCAAAACAACAACATTGCCAGGTGAGTATTTGTTAAGCGCACCCTGCAGATCGTTAAGCGGTCAAATCAACCTCAATAGGAAACGTCAAACTAAGAATGGGTGACTCGAACATGTTGAATATAAATAGAAAATCGTGATTTGATTGCCTTTCAATTTATTTTATTCAATCATATAAATTACAATATAATACTAGTAAATGGCAAAGTTATCTTCTGCAAACAAAATGTATGTACAGACACAGTATGAAATGTCATGACACAGTCACTGGTGTGTCTGGTACATGTCACAATGCTTGTAAGTGAGTGCATTTTTTGACACTTTTTAAAACCCAGATTTTTTTAATAATTCAGAATAACAAAAAATCCATCATTAACAATATATGATTTTTTCAGCCTATGTCACCAGGCTAGAATTTGAGATACTGTAGAATACTTTATTTTCGCTTGGAATTTATTTTCGCTATTTTCACTGAAGGGATGATTCCGTGAAAATAAAATCCAGTGAATATACTTTTTTTCCTATATTTCACATTAAACTCATCAAAAATCAGTGAAAATAAATTCCATACAAAACGCCCAAAAAGCCTTTTCATCGAAAATTAATTCCAGCGAAAATAAAGTATTCCACAGTATTGCATAATATCTCTGCCATAGGAACCTATGGTAAAAGCATTCTAATAGTATCAAAATGGCGACTTTCCAATAAAATACAACCATCAATTTCACGAAAAAAAGGCTGGTGAACCCCAACTTTTTTTAAGACAATATCCTTATATTGCATTGGAGTATAGTTTATTGCAAAATGAATGAATTCTGTATATTTTAATTTATGAGTAGGCTTCGACCTTAAGATACTCTTACTTCATCAAAATTGACCATCATCAAAGGTGTTTAGCAAATTATTAGGCGTGGAAATACTATTTAATATTTTGCAAAGTTTTGACATCATTATGACCTTTGTTTATCCTGACTTTATGTTTGATTTCAAGTATAACACTGGATCTAAGAGTAAACGTGAAATAATCTATTGATGTACACACCCATTACCAATATAAAGTCGTGGCCATACTTCATTATGGTCTTCCGTTGGTAACTGGAAATATCCGGTTGACGGCGGATGTAGAATGTTATTCAATTCTGCAACAGTGCAACCAGTATTATCTTGAGTGGTTGCCATGACTACCAATTATAATTACACAAATCTATAAATGATAGATACATTATTAGAAGATAATAAAACACAATTGTGATATATGGTATTGTATTTACATATCTTTCCATCACTGCCTCCATTTTGGTTTTACATGTGACACTGAAATATCAATATCTGCATTTTGAAAACTGCATTTTCATAGTCACAGGGACCTTTCCGAAATGTTGTCCAGACAGATTTTCAAAATTGAATAGTTTGATTGAAAAATGACATGCTTTGTATCAAAGTCAGTGGAAAATAGCTAATGAAACTATCCACTTTCAATTACTTTGGTAATTAATACTAATTATCAAGTTTAGACAAGGATATTAGGAAAATTGGCTGAAGATACAATGATGCTAAAAACAACATGTTAAAAATGATGTTAAAAACAAAATGGCTGTCAGTCAATCATTTTTAAACAAATTTGGGAAAAACAATGATGTGCATCAAGGACCCATTATGTTTATACCAAGTTTGAATGAAATATGTCTATGTACGACCAAGATCCAGTTCCCGAATGGCAGAAATGCTTGATTTTAATGAATTTTAACACTAAAATGGCCACCATTCAGCCATCTTGAAATGGATCATGAAACAAATGCATGTGTATCTGTATGATGCACGGATGCACAGAGGTGAAATTATAAGTCCCTGTTTTCGACGTCAAAGTAGATTGGGACAATGCCTTGATTTAAATATGCATACTAATGTTTCAGAAACAAGAAGGAAGATTACAGGAAGACCAAGAAAAATAATAAAGACAGAGGTTGGGGGAATGGCGTAGGGGATGATCATGATATTAAAGTCAATTTTTATTTGCTCCAGAGGGTGGGGCACAATACAATTGGTGACTTCATATATTTGTGTGTACCACATATCCTGAAATGGGGGTGGGTCAGTGTTTATTCTGAAAGTTGTAAAAAAAAATTCAGACCCTAAGTCGATCCAACCATGGAGGTAAAAAAGTGTTTACCTTCATGATCCAACCCTCCAACACCCCTCAAATTCAATTGTATATTCCCCTCAGGAGAACTTTACGTTACTTCAACAAGAAAGGCATAAATAACTGGATTAGGGGGGTAAGAGGGTTAGGGATTAAATGTGGGATTGGGGGGGGGGGGTACAGAAGGAAGTCTCAACTCAATGTAGGCCGAACTAATTTCACTGTGACAGCTCGTGTGCATTGTATTGCCCATACGTTATGGTCTAAATATAGCTCTTCCGTAGGTTTCACTGTTGAAGGAAATGCGTTTTGACGTGAATATACATCGACTTTATACAAGTTCTCTTATACAGTGACTTTCCGTTGAAATGTGGATTTTTGCGTTTCGCGGTGTGTGAGAACCCCATCATGCTTGAGAATTAATGTACAACAAACAGAACAAACTGCACACAACAAGTTTACGGCGATCACCATATCCGGTCGCTATTCGTTGGTATGTACGACATGGCAATTAATATGTAGCGACCGGCACATTAATCTAAAACTACATCTATTTTTTTGTTAAGAAGTTGATAAATCAAAATTACGTACAGTTTTTGAGTTTGGGTTATTTACACGTCTCACTCTCGTTGCATAGGCGGCAGAGGCAGTCTACAGTTCGTCTGCGTGTTTCTTCCTCGATCTGTAACCCTCTACACAGCGACCTCAATCGACATTCGCTAGAATTGATGTTTGTTGTTGAAAGGGGCGCACCTATATACTGATTTTGCGATTTACAAACATTTAGCAAAACCATATTGCAGCAAAAATGTCTAATGTTTGACTTGACACAATAAATATTATTGCAGTTCAGGGAGAAAATAAATTAATATATACGCTATATGTCGTGTATCCACATGCGACGACAATAGTTGGTGTTTATTTGCATGGAAATAAATTGAACTAATATTTTTGGGTAGAAACCTATTTTTGTGTTTATTCATTTAAAGAGCGATGGTCGTCGCTACGCGTTCAGTTCGATGCAAGTGATCTTGATTTAAGAACGAAAAACTAATTTTAGTTTGTAAGTCACACAATTTGAATACAAATTTATGTTCATAGTCATAGTCTATTGAACTTTCAATGTTCCAGTTTACTGCCTCCACATACGAGAATAATGGACGAATACACCGTACGATGGAAAACAATTTTACACAGGTATTTGAACTACGAGTTGTTTTGTAACATAGCAATCGCGTAACATATTGGCTTAGTGATAACATTATGTTATACATGTTGGCTTAGTGATAACATTATGTTATACATGTTTCAAAATTAAATATATTTTGTATGAAGTTTTTTTTGTATGTATGTATTGCTATGCCACATTTGAAACGCAATCTAATTAAAATAAAAATCCTAGTTTAGACTATTTAAATTTTGTATATAATTATTATTTGTTTATATATTATTAGTTAAAGCGGGAGAGTCATCACTTACGCATGCGTCAGGTGGCCATAGCGTGTCATTGTTTACAAACAAGCCGCGTCTACCCATGACCCTTTGCGTTCTTAGCGTGTGTTGTTATCATCGTTTAGGATTCAATTCCCGCGCGTGCGCAGGTGATGACCCTCCCGCTTTAATGGTGTTCAATGTTAGCACAGTCACTCTACTATTAGAGTGACTGTGATGTTAGATATCTGGTACGTTTTGCTGTACCCCGTAAACATGATATTCGTTTACTTCTCGGTAGAATATACACCCATAATATGCTTGCTGTTGACGAGTCATTGCTTAATAACCATCTTGGGGAGAAAAAAAACATGTACGTGCTTTTCTGTCAAGTTATATGGTGACACATACACTCCCTAACTAATTTTGAGTTGTCTCCTAACTCAGGTGGAAAAATACATATCAAGTTGTAATAAATGATTACATATAATGCTACCAAACACGATAAAATTTTTGTGATTATAGAATATTACGTACATGGGCACGCCAATTTTATATTAGAATGATTTTAAAATGATATAAAAGTGTCTTTCAACTCAATATATTTAAACTCACAAAATAAAGAAACTATTTTAAAAACAACACATTAATTGGCAACTCTGAACATCCTTCCTTCATATCCCGTACTCATAGACTACTCACAAATTTAATAAAACCTTAAAATACTTTAAAAAAATATATGTTGTGAATACTAAAATTTACTGAGAAATATATATCCTTACCGTCAATAAAGGACCTCACAAATTTATTAAAGCAGGAGGGTCGTCAACTGCGCACGCGCGGGAATTGAGTTCCAAGCGACGATAACAACACTCGCTAAAAACGTAAAGGCTCGTGGGTAGACGCTTGTTTGTAAACAATGACACGCTATGGCCATCTGACGCATGCGCAGGTGACGACTCTCTCGCTTTAAATTTCAGTTCAAATATGTAGAAAATAGGCGTTTACGCGAAAAATAATTCAACATCACAAAAGCTGTTTCAAACTATACATTTTGTTAGGAAAGATGTTTTATTTCGCTCTTCTTCGAATTTTCGAAATGTTTTTATGGAAATTTAAGTATTTCTTAAAGCGCGGTAGTCGTCGCGCTGCGCATGTACGAGATATATGGGTCTCATCATGGAACTATAAAGTGGTTTATAGTTCCATGGTCTCATATAAACAAAGATGGCGAATTTGACTGTCGCGCAGATTAACGAGTACGAACTGAGACGTTTCCAAGCTTTAAATAAATAATTTTCATGTTATTGGAAGGTATCGAAGGAGTCACCGGCGGTA